AGAAAAATTTACCTGACCATTTTCAAGAGGGGAAAACCTTGAATTTTGAAGAACTTAAAAAGTCATTTAAAAGACATTTCAGAAGTCAGTGAAGGTCATTTCCCGAATTCTAGAAATCGAAATTTTCTCGGGGGAACTCGGACCCCTTTTTTCTTTGGGGTTCATTGGTTCTATTGAATCATTTTCAAGAGGGGGGAAACCTTGATTTTTGGAGAAATTAAAAGTAATTAAAAGACACCTCATAAGTCGGGAAAGCTCATTTCCCGCTTCTAGGAATAAAAATTTTCCCGGGGGAGAACCCCCGACCCCCTTTCTTTTGGGGATTGGGAAAAAATTACCTGACCGTTTTGAAGAACTTAAATTAAAATCGCTATAAGATACGGTACTTCAGAAGTCGGGAAAGCTCATTTCCCACCATTTAGAAATTAACATTTTCCCGGGAAGAACCCTAACCTCCGTTTTTTCTTTGGGTTCATTGATTCATATAATAATTTTCAAGAGGGGAAAACCTTGACTTTTGAAGAACTTAAAGTAGTTAAAAGACACCTCAGAAGTCGGGAAAGCTCATTTCCCGCCTTCTAGGAATCAAAATTTTCCCTGTGGAGAACCCACGGACCCCCTTCCCTTTTTGGGATTTATGGATTCATGGAAAAAAAATCGTATGCAACTACTCAATTTTTTTTATGTGTGTATACACACATAAGGCCTATCTACTGTAATAACAATGGGATAAATTTACCTGACTGTTTTCAAGAGGGGGAAACCTTGATTTTTAAAGAACTTAAAAGTAATTAAAAGACACCTCAGAAGTCGGGAAAACTCATTTCCCGCCTTCTAAGAATCACAATTTTCCCGGGGGAGAACCCCCCTTTCTTTTTGGGATTTGTGGATTCATGGAAAAAAATTGTATGCAACTACTCATTTCTTTTTTATGTATGTATATACACATAAGGCCTATCTACTGTAATAACAATGCGATAAATTTACCTGACTGTTTTCAAGAGGAAAAACCTTGAATTTTAAAGAACTTACAAGACACCTCAGAAGTCGGGAAAACTCATTTCCCGCCTTCTAGGAATCAAAATATTCACGGACCCCCCTATTCTTTGCAAACCTTGAATTTTGAAGAACAAAGTCATTAGAAACCTATAGCTTAAAAGTCGAGAAAGGTCATTTCCCGCCATCTAGAAATCAAAATTTTCCCGGGGGAGGACCCCTTTCCTTTTTGGGAAAAATGTTGACCCCCCCATCCCCTAGGTTTTTCCAGATCTGCATGATTCATATTCCCATTCATCTTATAAGTGGGCCCCCCACTTTGAAAAACGTTCCGCCGGCCCTGATATATATATATATTTATATATTTCATAGTAAAACATTTGAATTCTGAGAGTATGGATATGATTCTAATGTTCTAATGTAAAACATGAGTTACGTAATTTTTAAGATACCATACAATATTTGACCTTGAATGACCTTAAATGACCTATTTGTGGCAATCTGACCAGGTCAAAAATGGTAATGGTATGGTATATACATTGAATGACCTTAAATGACCTTTTATGACATTAATGACCATCTGACCATGTCACAAGTGTAATAAATCCTTGACCATGAAATATAATTTTAGATATCTTAGGCCTAATTCTCATGGCAACCATTTTGAAATTTAAGATGGCTGCCAGAATGACCTCGAATGAAATATTGTAGTTCATTGTAAAGATTTTGAATTCTGAGAGTCTGGGTATGGTTCTAATGTAAAATATGACAATTAAATCACATATATTGAGTGAAATTGTGAACGATGAACTTGTGAAGGATGGTAATTAGTTCATGTAGGCCTACACTTGTCATCAAGCCAACAAGATACAGATTTCAGAAAGATTGGAGCCATTTTTAAAAAGGCATTATCCTCGCTGCATATTTAATGGTACGCGAATATGCTAGGCCCCCCAATGTGCGCGGCCTAGGCCTCAGCCTCGCATATGAATCGTAATAGAAACCAACAGAAATATTATCCATAAATTACTAAGTTGGAACACTAAATATGTAATAATATTCATTTTAATGGTATATATTTATTTCACACATATTAATTATTGGTGTAACAGACGGTCTTGGAAATGCTCTGTATAAATACGATCTTCCTGATTATGATCGCCGATGTTTCCAAAATGGAGTACATGCTACTGTTTGAGTCCAACGAAATGGAGGTACCCTTAGTTTCCAGAGTCGGATTTGCATCCCAGCTAATATCCTAAATTATAGATTATAAATTTTTATAGCAGGATTTTGAATTCATTTCTGATCAAATTTTTTTTGTATTTTAAATTAACGATTTTCTAGGGCACAAAATCGTAAAAATTGTGTACCACGAATTGGCCATTAAATTACACTTTATCGTTTCGGTCAAAATACACCAAAAGTATTTCACTGTATTGTTAAACTATTTATAAACATATTTTACCATTATTTTTGTTTTGTTAAGTAAGTTGTTTGATGAATTAACGTTTTCTCAAACACCACCAAATTTCGATAATTTGAACTAATTTCGAAAAATAGGGCACCCTCTCCTAGGCGAAATTTGACACGATTTTTCCAGTGGCTTTCCTACTGTATGGAAAATCT